CACACACACACCTGTTGACTAAAAGCATCACATTGAAACCTCACAGAATACACTAGAAATCTTTCAGTCGTATGTTGTAATACTGATTTTTGAAGCATTTCTGTAATTTTACTTTGTTGCGTTTAGGGTTTTTTCTTTCTTTCTTTTTTAAATCCACTTCTATCAAAAGAGCAGGCCTGTACTTATTGTTCACTGGGAATTTTAACCCACATGGCCATTTTATGGTTTATTTTCACTGTCTGTCTCTGGGAGCTGTATCCATAGCAATACTTCTCCTCCTAAGGATGCCCTATTTTCAGGGGGATGACTATAATTGGAATTTCTAGAAGCTTCGTTGTAGTGATTGAATGCTTTTAATTTTCATGAGATCCTCCTGGACAGCTGAGCCCAAATCCAGGACTTTTGAAAAACACATTACAAACTATATAAATCTGCCTTTGGCAGCCTGTCCATTTCAACTGTCTGCCAAAGAATGTGGACTCAAGTGGAAGTAAAGTTCGGGAGGATATAGAAGATTTGCCAATTGTAACTTAATGGTGCCATAAGTGCCAGTGAATCCTGCCCTTGCATGCCATCCAATGATTTAGCATTAAGTCCCTTTGGTTTTAGAGACAGAGTTCACAGCACATCCTAATTTATTTCAGTAGGTTCTTCTTCTGAGTGAGCCTGTATGGTGTCCTGATAACATAGTGGGGGTAGGAATTGGTTCCAATCCTCAGCAACGGATGTTTGTAGTATTATTTTACTGGTAAGGTTAGTGTAAGACTCACTGAAGAACACCCAACACTGTCCTAGAGAGGTGATGTGTTAAGTGAGATGCAGCGGCTGAGAAGGACCTGGCATGGCAGAAAAGAGTGCCTAGAATTTCCTAACTCCAAGCCTGCAGAGCTCTGTCCAGCCTGGGAAAGATCAAGAGAGACTAGAAATGAGATCCTGTAGGAGAATTTTGTGGGAGAATGAGGCTAGTGTCTGTGGTGGAACCAGATCAACTGAAAGTCAGACAAAGAAAATTGGAAAACTAAGGAGAGAGAAGTGGTGTGATTCCATATAGACTAACAAAGATGTATTCTGGATTCTGTGAGGAGAGTGACTTCTGCTGAGGGGCAAGGTGAGTTTAGAGGATACTGGTATGTTTTGAAAGTTGGGTGAAACATGGGAGTGAAATTAAAAGGAAAAATGACTTCTGCCATAGTCATAGGATCTAAGGATGCAATACCTCTTTGTATATAATGTGTAGACTTTATAAATCTATGCACACATATTCTCCCACACACATTAACTAACCTCTATCTTGTTAATGGCTGCTATAATGGGGATTGTGTGTAAATGGTGGCAGAGTTGTCTCTATTCAAACAGATGAAGCTACACAGGCATAAATACATATATTATTAATACTCATTGGACCCATTAGTTAGGGTACACCAACTGTATGTGTATGTTCACAAACACCTTCCTGATGAATCTGTCCACAACTCCTCAGGAAAGACCCACTTGTTTCTACTGCAAAGTCCCTTTCTCCAAAGAGACTCCTTGCAGGTGGAAGTTTGGTTAGCTTTGTGTATGCATGTCCTGGCCAGTGCTAGGAATTAAGGAGATGTTCAGGAAATAGCTTTCAAATGATTTATACTGTACTGAGCGGTTGTGTGTGTCAACTTGACACAAGCTAGACTCATCAGAGGAAGGAACCTCAGTTGAGGAAATGCCTTGATGAGATCCTGCTGTAAGGAATTTTCTTAGTTAGTCTTTGATGTAGGCGGGCCCAGCTCATGACGGGTGGTGCTATCCCTGGGCTTGTGGTCCAGGGTTCTATAAGAAGGTGGGCTGATCAAGCCATGATGAGCAAGCCAGTAAGTAATACCCCTCCATGACCTCTGCATCAGCTCCTGTTTCTGGGATCCTGTCTTCTTTGAGTTCCTGTCCTGACTTCCTTTGGTGATGAACAGCAATGCTGAAATGTAAGCCAAATAAACTGCTTCCTCTCCAACTTGCTTTTTGCTCATGATATTTCATTGGAACAACAGAAACCCTAACTAAGACAGATGCTATTCCCAAAATATCAATATCTTATTTTCTATAGTATCCAAATAAAGGTAAGCTAGTGAAATACAAAGTTCCTACATACTATTTAAGAAATAGAAACAAATTTTAAATCAGTACCCTCAAAGAATTATTGAGTGATACTTCATCATGAAAATGAGCCACTAACATCATGACTATGCCATAGTCATGTAAATCTGCTTATACTGGAGGTAGGTTAGAAGCTTGACAGCAAAATAGGGTATGGTAAAATGTTCTTGAGGCTGTCTGAATTTCAGTTGGCCTGCCATTATTCTCTTAGTATCATTGGGAAAGCTTTGAATGGCCCATTTTTATGAGAGACCATTGTCGTTGGTAAAAATATTCATCATTAAAATCTTAGAGAACCCTCCCCTCTGAAACCTTGTAAGAGAAAGAAACTAATGTACAAAGTGTCCACAAATTACTCTATAATCACAGTCTTGTCTTTGTTTCCTCTTCTCGCTGCCTGTTTATACTGTAATATTAATAAATGCAGCATTTTAATGAGCTTTGACTGAATTATCTTCAGAGAGTTGGTGCAGTAGGCTCCTTGGAGACACATAACTGAAGTTCCTGAGTTCTGGAGAGGAGCGTGCTCCTCATTAGCTAAGACAGCTAGGCACAAGGCTGCTCAGGAGAGCTGGGCACAGCTCAAGCCCACCTGTGCCTCTGCAGGACTGTAGTGCCTCTGCCCTGCTGTGTACCAACCCCAGGGCTTTCATTAAAAGTGTCAGGTGCTTTCCCCAGAGCCAGTGCTGATGGCATGTCATGCTGCTGTCCCTAGAGGAGCAGTGCTGACACCTACTAATAGTCTGACAAACGGTTAAGTAGCTGTTCCAGCTCAGGTTGAGGAGGGGGTGTGCTGCTGCACCTGAGCCTGTCAAGCAGGGACGGTGTCTTCCTCACCATCAGTGATGAAGCCTGTCTTCCCACCCCAGTAGGCTCCTCTTACACTTTTATAAAAGACTTGATGAGGGGAACCCGACCACAAGTCAGCAAAATTGAATGTTAGTGGATTTCTGTGTTAGTAGTGGCATTTTGCTTGCCCCTTCTGTGTTTGGTCTGACTTGCGCGACATTCTTAGAGAACAGGTCAAAGCCACTTTCATTCATAAAAGCCTAAAGGCCAGAGTTGATAGCAGAAGTAGGCACAGTCAGGGTTTAGGGGCAAGAATAGCTACTGGGTTCAGAATCCTGGTGAAGCAAAGGCCAATCTGAGCTTTGCTCAGGGAGAAGGGTGTCTATTTGCATGAGTACTTTTGGTTGATAATATATATATATATATTGGTTGATAATAATATATATATACATTACTTTAACAGGTTTATGATAACAACATCGTAGAGTGTGGTTTTATAGTATGTGTGCCCATTGTGTCATAATTAAATCTAGCATATGTCTATAATTTCATACATCCAGCATATCTTTGGATATTAAGATCCAAAATCCTTTTCCTCTATCTCCTTTTAAACATCCAATACACTATTATTAACCGTGGTCACCATACTATATAAGAGAACACCAACATTAGTCCCTCAGTCTAACCTTAACCTTGTGTTTGTGTACAAATATTTCCCTATCACCCCTCCCTTCTCCTTCTCTAGCACCTTGTAACCACTCTTTCACTATGCTTCTTCCTTATTTTTTGAGATCTCTTTTTATTTTTATGTGTATTTGTGTTTTCCTGCACGCATGTCTTTGCACCATTTGCTTGCCTGGTACCTGTGGAGGCCAGGAGATGGTATCACTTCTGAAACCAGAGAGGTTGCAAGCTGCCATTTGGGTGCTGGAAATTGATCCAGAGGTTTTCACAAGAGTGAAATGATCTTAACTGATAAACCAGCTCTCCAGCCCCAACTCTACTTCATGATTCTATCTATACTGTATATAAATAAGATCTTGCAGGATTTATTTTTCTGATATTGAATTACATAATATATTGCCCTACAGGTTCATTTGTGTTGCTGCAAATGACATGATTTAATCCTCTAAATGGTTTAATTGTCCTTATGGCTGGATATTATTCTGTTGTCTATATGTACCACATATTTTCTTTTCTTCCTATGCTTGCCCGCTGGTAAACACCTATGTTGTCTGCATTTTGGCTATTGTGAGGAATGTTGCAATGGACACAATACTACAGAGGCTGAAACCATTTCCATTGGATGGATCTATCTATCTATCTATCTATCTATCTATCTGTCTGTCTGTGTGTGTGTGTGTGTGTGTGTGTGTGTGTGTGTAGCTTTGAAAGGAACCCTGTTCTTCCATAATGTCTTACTGATTGTTCCACTAACATATAAGACTTCCTTTCTTTCAGATATTTCTGGTATTTGTCATTTTTGTCTTTGTTTCGGTTTTCTTGAGGTACTAAGAATCATGAGCAGGGTCTTGTATGTGCTAAATGCTTTCTCACTCAATACATTCAGCCCTATTTTTACCTGTTTGATGACAGAATTCTACCTGTGGTGAGATGATATATTATTGTGGCTTTGATTAGAATTTTCCTGAATATGGGTAATATTGAATATTTCTTCACATTTGTTGCTTGTATGCTTTTAGAGATCTTTTGCCTAGTTTTAGTTGAGTTATTTTATCTTATTTTGCTAGTGAGTTTCTTTTAAAGACATGCAGGGAATTGAGGACCCTTCCACATGGAGATCTGGTGCACCCTCCTGTGAGGTCTGTGGTCATTGACTTTCAGACTGAAAATTCCAGTGCTCATCAATCTGGATTCCTTGATAAGTTAGACTGAACACTCATGGGCTTTCCCCACTTCCTGAATTCTCAAATGTGGATCTGGAAAGCTTAGCAAGAGAGCCCTCCCCTCTTTTTGTCTCCCTTCTCATGGATTTATTGTGAAAGCACACAGCTTTGGTTCAATTTGCAGTGTCCCTTTTGAGAGTCATTGGTCTTTGATGCCTGTCTGTGTTCCCTTTCCAGGGAAGAGTGATCCTTTCTGCCTTTTGGAGTTGGGCAACGACCGACTTCAGACACACACCATTTACAAAAGCCTCAACCCTGAGTGGAACAAAGTTTTTACATTGTAAGTGTGTCATGCTCTGGGACCGAAGGAGCAGCTTTAACTTAGAGAGCAATTATCCCTGATGTGTGTGGGACAGGCTGGGGGCTCTTGAGGGGAACTTTTCCACACAGTTTTATGTGCAAAGAGCGAATTTTATTGTTCTTTTTTCCCAAACCCTTTTATCCTTTCATTTTATAGTATGGCTTAATAATAGAAGAGACCATTTGGAACTGTAAGGGACTGCTTGGAGACATTTATAAAGTAGATCTTTTAGTGACTAAATTAATCTGTGGGTAGATGGATGTTTCTAGATGTCCAGACTAATTTATTTCTGGGTTAAGGAAAGTTACAAATGGAGTCCTGTCTTAAATTCTGAGCACTTGCCTGTTATGATACTATGTTACCTGATGAAGATTTGTATTCTGTTAGAAACTTCTGGAAAATGCAGATTATCTGTGAATCCTTAAAGACTCCCAATGGCTCCCGATATTCCCTTCTGTCAGAGTGGCCAGCTTCTTTGGAATGCCCTGTGTGTTTCATCAAACTTGGGCATTTAGGAAGCTGCATATATTTAGTTTCCTAGTTTGCCTTCGATTTAACTCTTAAGCGGAGACCCCTGTTGGACTTGGGTGAGTTGATGATGCCTTACCCCTTCAAAACTGACTGCTTAGTCTGCACTTACAAGTAGAAAGAGTCAGATTTGCCTCCATTGCAACTGATGGTATTCACAGAAAGTCCCTCTAAGGTCTAGCAGAAGTGAGTCAGCTGAAGACACATCAGACAACTGCCAGATAGACATAAGGGTTTTTGACAATAGCCATGACTCTATTTACTATTGTCAGTGGTGCCTGGTTTCTGTTCAATATAAAGAAAAGGTGTTTCTAAAGCTGAACTTGGGGTGTTTTGTGCTGTATGTTTCAATTAGAAAAAGCTGTCTGGGTACCTCATCAAACAATGAATTTATCACATTTTCTTTTTAAGAAATATGTTTAAATTATTTATTTGCTAATTTTATGTTCATATGTAAGCATTTGTGTAAGAATGTATGTCTGTGTGAGCTTATATTCACCACATGTGCATTCAGAAGACCACAGAGGCAAGAAAAGGGTGTTGGATCCCTTGGAACTGTGGTTACAGGTAGGAGTGAGCTACAGCGTGCGTGCTGAGAACTGAACCTGGTCCTCTGCAAGAGCAGTAAGTGCTTTTAAACACAAGCCAGATCTTCAGTCCCTCCCATTTTTCTTCATTAATTTCAAAGGTAACTTTTGCTTTTCCCATTGCAGAATGACTTTGCCATCCCTTTCCTTTCTCCTGTGATTTCTCTTTTTTTTTTCTTCTGTTATCCTGTTTCTTTAACAGTATCACTCTTGAGTGCACACGTGTGTAGAAAATGCCACAGGAACAAAGTTGACTCCTTTCATCATGAGCATATCTGAATCTTCCATGATGGAAGGTTTGGGAATACAGTCAGTTTGATTTAATTTTTGGAGTTTAATTAAATGGTAGTTTTATACTCCGAGGACACACAGACTTAATTAGTGCAAGTGTTTTCAGATCTTCATGGAGCGGACGTCACCCGTGTGTTTTTGTGTATAATACCTGATATTTCCTCTTTCAGCCCTATTAAAGATATCCATGATGTTCTGGAAGTGACAGTGTTTGATGAGGATGGAGATAAAGCCCCGGATTTTCTTGGAAAAGTTGCCATCCCCTTGCTGTCTGTAAGTCCTCTCCATTAATCAACATTTGTAAGTCAGAGTTTCTGTGGTCTAGAGTAATTTTCATCTTTGTCAACTTTGGAGCAACAGTGGAAAGTAGTATTTATTATTTATATTCTAGATACAAGGGAACATAGCCCTTTCTGTGTCAGTCTAATATTTCTTTAATCAAACCGACACTTGGGCCAATCTTTCAATACACTCTCAGATGTCATTCTACCTCAAGATGGCACTTTCTGTCTGGTTTCAAGGAATCCTGCTCTCTGGTCAGATTTTCCACTGATGAGTGAGGAAAACCCATTGATTTCTTTTTACTTCCTCCCTGTCTGTCTTGTTAAAGATTAATTTGTAGTGACTGCATTTTTTCTTGGTTCTCTTAAAGACCCTTTCCCCAAAGTTCTGTCCATTATATCAGCTTTCAGACTTAAAATATTTTGTGGAAGAGAATAAGGATTTTTCTTAGAAAATCAAGAGTGGTTCAATAATCTAGTGAAGGTCAGTGAAGAAGAAAAGTAGAACAGAAAAAAAAGACAATGAAAAAATATACTTATAAAATACAATAGAGAAAGCATATTAGAATCCCTTCACAAGAGTTAAGAGGGAAAAGGTGGCCAATCAGTTGCCCTTTTATTTATTTATTATACAATATCTACCTTTTCCCTTTTGACGGAGTATTAATATGTGTCAAATGAACTTGTTAGAGGCATGCATTTCAATTTTCCTTCCAGCCATTCACAGAATTGTTTGTGCAGTCATTATGGGTTCACCAAAACATGAGAGTTGATTTCTTCCCTCACACTTCTCTGTTTTTCCAAAGCTATTTGTACAGTGTCATGAGTTGTGCACTCTAATCTAAACGACAAGCTTCCTCTTGCTCCCATAATGTTTGCAGGGAGGGGAACACTGTACCTCTTAATATCTTTTCATCTGCTTTTGATCGCTTGGTTAATTTCTCCCCAAGTTCTCATATCCCTGATGCTCCTCCAAGAGAATGCAGGCAGCAGCTGCTGGCTGCTGCAGCAGGGCCCCCGCCAAATGCTCTGAGCCCTCCATGGCAGGCGGCAGTGCTCATAGAGAGGAGATGGCAATTTGGGATTTCCTCCCACTTTTTTTTTTATTGCAGCTTTTGTCAGATATTCCTGGAAGAATACATGTAGCAGGAATATGGGACACACTTTAAAAGAAGTCTAAAGAGAGATGGTAGAAAGCCAAAAATTCCATCCTTTACAATTCAGTGTGTATGTATGTGAGCAGAGTGGTCTCCTCCCTGTCCCTCTCTCCGTCTCTCCCCTGTCTCCTTCCGTCTTCCTCTTCTTCCCTCCCTTTCCTTTTATATTTTTTAATGGATTAATTTTCAGTGTATTTTACCTATTGACATGAGAATACACTTGGATAATTTAGAAACTTTTGTTCTTTTTTCTTTGTTGATAAAACTTTTGTATATTTGTTTATATAACCCCCTGCCGCCATGCTATGACCTACTGGCTTTGCTTACTGACTTCAGTCCCCCAATCCTTCTTTTCTTTGTCCCTTCTTCCCTCCTGCCTCAGCAGATCTAGCCCACGACGTCCAGCTGCATCAGGACTACCCAGTCCTAAGGCTGTTGACATTTGGAATCAGAACACTTGTATGTTAGATGAAGGTTTCCCCTGTATTTTGAGGTGCCCAGCATATTCCTGGCTTTTCTCGGTGACAGTAGCACAAAATATAGGGTGTTTCCCCTGCTGTTGTAAAAACTAAAGATGTCCCTAGACGGTGACAAAGATACTGAAAGGGGCTGAACTTCCTTATGGAGACAACAACTAACTAAACTAATGGATTCTTTTTCAAAAGTATCCCTCCCCATCTAGAAAATTACGTGAAAGACATACCTTACTTAACTCCTACTTTAAACACAAGCCAAACTCCACAGTTGAGTTTTGCAATATGGGAACAAGCTGTCCTAGTATGTATTGTTCATTCGTTTGTTTAAAAAACACTGATGCAATTTCACTCTATGGTGGGCAATTTTAGCTAACTGTGCTCTAATGCTGACTCTAGGAAGCTTCCACTTCCCTTGTAGCTTATATCATGTTTTGTATGAGACAAGGACACAGAAAGATAAAACAATATCCAATATTATGTGATTAAAAACCCACCACTGGGACACCAAGAATATAGGGTGTGTGTTCTCCAGGGTTACATGGTGAAGGGTGCACAAGAAAGGGGACATTCAAGTAGGAGCTCAAGGAGGTGACAGAGCAAGCAATGCAAGCATTGGGGAAATGTTTAGGTAGGGAATAATTTATGGTCAAATGTTTGCTCGGAGGAAGGACTTTGCCTGTCAGCATCCAGAGATGGCTGGGTGGCCAGTGTAGATGTAATACAGGGGACATAGCATAGTGGCCTATAAAACAAAAAAGGACACAAGGGAAGGGTAGTGGCAAGGCTTGGTGTGCCCTGAAAGCCAAGCAGGCCTGTGGAAGATTTGAATTTTTCCTAAGTGAAGGATGGGGAACTGCAGGTTTACATCCATCGTGTATTAGTTTCTATTGCTGTTATAAAACACCATGGCCAAAAGAAACTTTGGGGGTAGGGATGGATTTGGTGTTTATTTCAGCTTACAGTTATGCATTTTCATCCATTGCTAAGGAAAATGGGGACAGAACCTCAAGGCAGGAATCTGGAGGTGGAAATGGAGCAGAAGCCACCAGAGGAGTGCTGCTTACTGTCTTCCTCCTCGTGGCTTACTCAGCCTGCTTTCTTAAAACATCCAGGACCACCAGCCTTGGGGTGGCATTGTCTCCAGTGAGCTGGCTCCTCCCACATCAATCATCAATCAAGAATCTGGTTGGAGCATTTTCCCAAATGAAGTTCCTCTTCACAAATTATTCTAGCTTGTATCAAGTTGACATAAAGCTAGCAGGAACATTATTTATTTGCTTTAAATACAAATAGTATGTGGTACAATCAGGAGAAAGTCCCAGTTTAGCAGTCCCTTCCTAGCATAGCAGCCAGTCCAAGACTGTAATCCTCTTAGTTGCCTTGGGGACGCTTGTGTGGCACTGAGTGGCAGGCTCTGCTGCTGCTGTTCATGCAACTGATTTGATTGAGATTAATTTTAATTCTCTGACTGATAGATTGGGAAAATGACCAAATCCTAGAGTATATCTGTGTCTTCTTGACATCAGGTGGTCCACCTGCAACAAATTGACCTTTTCAAATTAATTTATTTTCTAATAGAATGTAGATTATAAATGTGATTTCTAAATGTCATGACTCTCATTATGACTGAAAATTATAATCCAATAATTATTTAATTTATTGTTCTATTATCAAATAATACTGAGCCCTACATGGGAGGGTTTGTTTAAAGATATGATTATTTAGGTGTATGTTTTTTTTCTTTTGTTTATATCTCTGAAGGGATGCATACCTGACAAGTTCAGTGTGGTTAATGTGCTAAATCATTAATTTTCTGGCAACTTAGTCTTTCACATTTATTCTTGGCCATTTACGACTTAGGAAACAGGAACAGAAGTGACCCTGTACTGCAGCTGGTTAGTAAGTGAGTTTTTAACAAAGACAGCAAGACAGCCTCATGTTGGAGTCTTAACTCCCCAGAGGTTCCTAGACAACCATAGTGAGCACTGAGCATCAAACCATAAGGAAGAGTAGGGATGCGTTTGTACATCTGTGATATGTACAGTTAGGGCTGGCAAGAGAGACATGGTAGGAGAAGTATAGGAATTCTGGAGAGATATCTGTTCAGTCATCACAGAAAACGAAAACTCACAAATGCCACAGGAAAGGAACTAGGTGCTGTAGGAGAGACAGATTAAAGTTTGAGAAGGCATGGGGAAACAGGGGTTCAAAATGACTCAGGAAGGAGTAGTGTGTTGATTGTGACTGGTGTATGAACATGGAAGTCCTCTAAAGTAAAACAGGTGCAGGAGAATGGTCACCTTGTGCAAACAAGGAGGGCCTGGGTGCCTTGGTCTCAGGATGAGAGTAGGGAGGGGAGAGAGTATTGGATTTGTCTGTTATCTGAGGCACAGGAATCACAAGTTAAGGCCTGACTGGGATGCATAATGAGTCATTGCCAGTCTGGGCAATATAGGGAGGTCCTGACTTAACATTAAAGGAGAAATGGGGATAGAACTCAGTGGTGGAACACTTGCCTATCATGGAAGAGGTCCTAGGTCCAATGCTAGGACTATATGACAAAGATATCAAAATGTATTTTATATTTAAAAACAGTTGATAATGAACCACATATTCATAATTGTATTGCGATAATTTTGTGCAATTGTCTTCTCTTTACCTAAGTCATGAACTAGAATTCCACTCATCATTTGGTGGCATCTTACTTAAGGATCCAAATGTATGTGGATAAAATACCATAGGCAAATAAACTCGGGGAGAAAAGGGTTTATTTCAGTTTACAGCTGCAAATCACAGTCCGTCGCTGAGGGCAGTCAAGGGAGGAACTCAAACAGGGCATGTAGCTGGAGTTAGGAACTGGAGAAGTATGTCTTACTGGCTTGCTCCTCATGGCTTTTTCAGCCTGTTTTCTTATAGCACCTGTGACTACCATCCCAGGGATGGCACCGCCCACCCTTGGTGGGGAGGGGCATTTCATCAACTAAGATTCCCCTTTTCCAAATGATTCTTCCTGTGTCAAGTTGACATAAAACTACTCAACACAGTGAATTAAAGCACAGTGTACTTAAAATACCCAAGTCCAAGGTAGAGAATGTACTTTACTTTTCATTTTGCTCAGTATTAATGTGCCTAAGTCTGCTGTCAAGGTGCATTTAAAATGATTGAATAAAAAGCTATTGCTAAACTCAACTATACATTTTTTAAACTTTGCTTTTGTGTTTTCTTTTTGTAATTAAAATACGATTTCAATGTAATCATTCTACTTCCTCCTTCCTACCCTCCCTTGATTATTATAGCTTTTTCAAGTGGGTCACTTAAAAATTTAAACATTGGGACTGGAGATATGGCTCAATGGTTCA